AGGTAAAATTTATTGGAATGAAACGATTCCATTTCACTTTGATTCTTGCAACAATTAATGTGAGCAAAAATTTGAAAAAATCATTCATTTGCAAAAATGTTGCAAATCAATTACCTAATGTATTTGTTGACACAAGAAATGTGACAAAGTTATATATATATCAGTAAAAAATATTTCAGCAAAAATTGATGTATCTGAAAGATAATCTATTGTAGCAAATGAGTCTCAAATAAGCCAAAAACGTGGTCAACCAATTCGTTCAAAAGACTTTGTACATCGAAAAATAAAGGTACATAAAAAAAAACCAAAAACTTCAGAAAAATAACATTAAAAAAGATTGATCAATCAAATATTGAAAATATGATTCCCAAAGAACCACAAGTGTCCGAAAATAACGAAATTTCAATAAATTATATGTTATCTCATAAATTATAGGAACGAAATAATATTGTTATAGACAATATTTTTGCCATTAACGTGACTTTTGATATTATGCAAAATGAGGATCCTAAATCATAGTCTGTTAAAGACAGTCAATATAGAAATGATTAGCCAGTGTAGAAAGAAGTTATACATGCGGAATTGAATTTCTTAGAGAAATGAAAAGTGTTTGTATCTATAATTCGAAAACCTAAAAATTAATCCTTGTAGGTTACAAACAATTTTTTGTATGAAAGAAGAATGAAAATAACAAAATTATAAGATATAAAGCTCGACTTGTATCTTAATATTTCTCACAAAGATTAATAATTGATTATTAGGAAACATATCCTCTTGTAATTGACACCATCACTTTAGATTCTTAATCAATTTGACTACATCACCAAGACTCAATATGCTCCTTATGGTTGTAGTAATTGCCTATTTGTATGGTTCACTTGATAGTAATATAGATATATAAAAGTTCCTGAAGGACTTAAAGTACCAGAAACAAACGATATATGTTCGAGAATCATGTTCTTAATTAAATCGTAAAGATCATTATATGGACTGAAATAATCTGAACGTATGTGGTATAACCGCTTTAGCGAATATTTGTTGAAAGAATGCTATAAAAATAACGATATTTGTCATTGTGACAGTAATGTTGATAATTTAAATTTAATTGGAACTTCTGAAAAACTCAACAAAACTGCAAATTATTTGGAAAAATGAGTTTGGGATGAAAGATTTGGGAAAAACAAATTCTGTCTCGAGTTGCAGATAGAATATTTCCTAGAAGAATTATTGGTTAATCAATCTATATATATAGAAAAGTCTTAAAATGCTTTTATATAGATAATGCACATCAATTGGCATCACTTGTGATTATTCGATCACTTGATAAGAAAAAGATCATTTTATCCACTTGAAAATGGAGAAAATGTTCTTGGTCCTGAAGTACCATATCTTAGTGCAATTGAAATATTAACTTTTCTTATAAACTACACTCGACTTGACATAGTTTTGTTTTTTTAAATATTCTTGCAAGATATAGCTCTACACCAACACAAAGACATTAAAATGATGTTAAACATATTTCTCATTACTTAAAGGGTACTATTGATTTGAGATTGTTTTATTCTCAAAATTTTGGGATCAGTTTTAGTGGGATATGCAGATGCAGATTATCTTTCTGACCCACATAAAGCTAAATTACAAACATGATATATGTTACACGTGGAAGAACAGCTATATCATGAAAATCTATTAAGCAAGCCTTAATAGCAATATCCTCAAATCATTTTAAAATTATTGCAATCCATGAAACGAGCCGAGATTGTGTATGGTTAAGAAACATGACCCATCATATCCTAGCATCATGTGGATTAACTCAATAAAAGATAGTCAAATAATTTTGTATGGAGACAATACTGCTTGTATTGTACAACTCAAAGGATGCTATATCAAAAGTGACAAAATAAAGCATATTTCTACAAAATTCTTTTATATACATGAGTTTTAAAAGAATGACAACATCGATGTTCAATAAATTCACTCAAGTGACAATGTGACTGATTTATTTACAAAAGAACTGTCAACATCTACATCCAAGAAATTAGTTCACAAGATTGGAATACGCCGACTCAAAGATTTTGAATAATCAACATTAGGGGTAGCTATACTCTTTTTTCATTCGTTTATATCTCACTAGGTAGCAAGGTTTCAATGAGGTGGTGTTTATATTTAATATTCCAAAATAACTATACTAGTTTTCCTTCATTTGATTCTTTTTATCCCTTTGAATTTTTATCAAACAAAATTTTAATGAGGTGAATATTTTGTAATGTGTTATTCAAGGGGAAAATGTTGTAAATAGAAAGTTTATTAGTAAATGACAATGGTATCCTTACAACTCTAGAAATTATTATCATTGTATCCATAATCCTTCTATATAAATATAGGATTTTGATTCTTATTATAATACACACAAATAACACCAACACAAAGACATTAGAATGATGTTAAACATATTTCTCATTACCTAAAGGGTACTATTGATTTGAGATTTTTTTATTCTCAAAATTTGGGATCAGTTTTAGTGGGATATGCAGATGCAAATTATCTTTCTGACCCACATAAAGCTAAAATACAAACACGATATATGTTACACGTGGAAGAACATCTATATCATGGAAATCTATGAAGCAAGCCTTAATAGCAACATCCTCAGATCATTTTAAAATTATTGCAATCCATGAAACGAGCCGAGATTGTGTTTGGTCAAGAAACATGGCCCATCATATCCTAGCATCATGTGGATTAACTCAATAAAAGATAGTCAAACAATTTTATATGGAGACAATAATGCTTGTATTGTACAACTCAAATGATGCTATATCAAAGGTGACAAAACAAAGCATATTTCTACAAAATTCTTTTACATACATGAGTTTTAGAAAAATAACGACATCGATGTTCAATAAATTCACTCAAGTGACAATGTGACTGATTTATTTACAAAAGAACTGTCAACATCTACATTCAAGAAATTGGTTCACAAGATTGGAATACGCCGGCTCAAAGATTTTCAATAATCAACATTAGGGATAGCTATACTCTTTTTTCATTCGTTTATATCTCACTAGGTAGCAAGGTTTCAATGAGGTGGTGTTTATATTTAATATTCCAAAATAACTATACTAGTTTTCCTTCATTTGATTCTTTTTATCCCATTGAATTTTTATCAAACAAAATTTTAGGGAACAAAATTTTAAGGAGGTGGATATTTTGTAATGTGTCATTTAAGGGGAAAATGTTGTAAATAAAGTTTATTAGTGAATGACAATTGTATCCTTACAACCCTAGAAATTATTATCATTGTATCCATAATCCTTCTATATAAATATAGGATTTTGATTCTCATTATAATACACACAAATCTATTGACTTTTATTATCTTCTATCTTTTTCTCTCTTTTCATAACAGTGATCTCATTATATATATATTATTTTAGTTATCTATCTGACAATGACTTGTCGATTCAATCAATGACCTATCGATTCAATCAATGACCCGTTAATCCGATACTTCAGCCAGACCGATGACAAGGATAGATTTAATAACTATAGTTTTATGTTAGACAACCTACTCAGTCTTAGTCCAATTAAGAACACGAGAGGAAATTGTGGACCCGCCCAATTTTCACAATGACCTTTGACCAAATTTTATTTAAAAAATAAATAAGGTAAAATTTGTAAAAGCTAACAAAATCTTCCAAATACTCTTCATTTGAAAGGAAGGAAAAAAGAGTGAAAAAAGTTCGGAAAAAAGAGGAAAAAATCTTTTCTACTAAATCGACTTCAATGCTATTCACCATCATCATCTTCTACATATTTAATCAAGGTCAGTTTTAGCTTTTATTGTTTGAATTTTATGATTTTACGAATGGATAAATATTTTTTTGATTTTTGCATTCAATCTTGATAAAATCTATGAATTTATGCTTTTTATGCATGGCTTGTGGTAGATATATTGTTAGAATTGAGGTTAATGATGATTTTGGTGATTTTTTGAGGTGGAGCTCCATGCGCATGGCAATGCTTTTGGGCCCAAACTGTCCAGACGATTTTCCAAACGTCTGGACCATTTTAAGGGTATCTTAGCCTTTTACATTTTGAATTTGTGGTGAAAAAAATTTAGGTTAGGCTTATGTGGTGGATGGTAACTTTGACATGATCATTTAGAAAATGCAACCATTAAGACAATTGGGGTTGTGTTATAACGAAATTTGAACTTTGTAGTTTCAGGTGGCCATAGTTTATTTTGACAAGGCTACTTGACCAATATCGAATTTACGTAACTCTATAATACACTTGTTCATGAAAATTAAGCTTGAACAACGTAAAACGAATGTCCCAAAACATACCGTATGACGAATAGATCCAAGATGCGACCACAAGAGTTCTTGTTGTTTACTTTTCTTATTACATTGTTCTCTTTTATTCCTCGAGAGATCATACCCCTCTGGTGATGCTTAGCACCAACCTACGGGTCAATGCACTGCCACAATGTTCAATGTGTAAAAATGCATTATAACTTTATTAGACAATGTGACAGTGATCCACTGGCCACTGCAAATAGATTGGTGCTAAGCACCAACCCTGCACTAGTCTAAATTAATCAAGCATTCATGAGTGGTTTTAACTATAAAAGAAAAACATAGCATAAAACACATGCCACCATATTGGGCACCAATATATAACAATGAAGTGGATCCCTGGGATCTACCAAACAAGCTATATTAGACTTGAAATACAAATATATCTTACAACTCCTGTTTCACAATATCTTTGCATTGAAACTTTCCTTTTCCTTAGGGGTTGGGGTGGAAGAATGAGCATATATAACAAAAAACGGATGAACAAATACTAGTTAAGCTTCAATTCTGAATTCTAAATAACTTTTTGGTCAGAAAAGGGGACCATGTCTTGCCAAAATAAATTAAATGGGACAATCACTATAAACTACACAAAATATGCAGCTGGAATAATAGCTAGATCCGAATATGGATGTCGACTTACCCAGACTGAGAAAGTTCAACATCCTTAACAGTAGTTTTGCCAATTTCCTCCTTCAATAATCTGATTTCCTCTTCCGTCAAGCTGGTTTTCGAAAGGGGTGCTACCTTGGAGTTAGCCTGCTTTTCAACCTCAACTGCCCAACTATAAATAATCATGCCAGCAATTGCAATAAGCATCCCCATGATGTTCTTAAAAGTCAGCTCGGAGTCAAATAGTAGCCAGCCCAATGTGAGGACGGCAACTGTTTTCATGTGGCCTAAAACTTGAAAGGAAACGGCTGAAAATCGTCCAATGCAAAGATATTGGCTCACATTGCAGAATACAGCTAGAGAACATGAAAGGAGTATAAAGAACTGCAAAAATTGCAACCTTGGGTCAGATGCATGGACAACTAATGAATACTACTACAATGTACAAAAATGTAAATAATTGAGATTATTAAACAAGAAACAGATACTTACGATTACTCCAGTAGTAAACTTGTAGTCCAAAATTAACTTTCCAGCAAGATAGTAGTCCACTATAGGACCAAACACAAGAAGAGAACCAGCTTGAATAGGGGCGGTTTTACTTAACAGTTCAAATGATCCAATAGAGTACTTTTTCTGCAAGGAACCTATTGACTGCATCAAAAGAATATTGTCCAATCATACATCTGTCGGAATAACATGGGAGGAGAAAATTTTCAAAGAGAAGTATTTTTTTTTTTTTCCCTCCATTGGAAGGAGAGTGTGGTGGGGGGTCATGTAAAATGGTCAGTCTTAAATTGAAGACATGCATAAAGCTTGTTGCCTTAGGGATATGATACTGTAAAATCAAGTTCAAAAATTTCAAAATAGGAGTTTCATTAAGCACTTCCTATGATGCTGCTAATGTTTAACTGAAGCTTAGACTGTAGGGGAAAGCTACAAGGCAAAAGATTGGATCATAAAGACGATATCATGGTGCAAAATTCTCTTCTCTAATAATTTTTCATCTCCATTTTCGGCGTTTTAACAACATTACGCCACATGTTGGGATCCCTTCCCACCTCAAGAGAGGTAGTCCATCTCATGCATACACCTTCTAACTAATAACCTAAATAAGAAAAGCATATTTAGTCTTGGCACAAAGATTCTGGATGCTTTTGATGAAGCTAGTATATAAACAGGTAAGAAAAGATAGTGTGCTGTGAGATTATATTCCTAATCCGGATTACGGTAGTTTCCCAAAGTGAGCAGGATAACTTCAACAAATAAATGTTGGGTACCTAGGCATTTTACCAGTTTAGACGAGGAGTACGCCTCAAGACACATCAATAAAACAATTCAAAAGAATATAAAATACAAACATATGCTCATAATAAACCATAAACATTTTTGAGAATCGAAATTACTAACTAAAAAATTAAGTTGAAAACAAACATATAAAAGATCAATAAAACAGAAAATAATAAAATTTCAATTTACTAATCACGTAACAATATTAATCTATTATTAGAAGTAGAGTCAACGAAAAAAAAATTTGTATCATTACTTCTAATATTATATTAAGGAATAGTTATTGTCATTGTAATTGTCACTGTATTCTCAACTTGCAATGGTATATTCTCCTTCCCCTACCCTTCAGAGTAGGTAGAAAGAAAAATGAAAGAAAACCCATAATACATTTTAGATTATAAAAAACTAGTACAAAAGGCTAAGGTAAGTAATTAAATGCCAAGAAAATTCAAGACAAACGGGCAAACACTTTAGTCGCCTCAAGGTGTAAGACTCACTAAGTCGAGGTGTAAGCCCCACGATGGCACTTAAGGTGAAGGTATTAAAGCATTTTATGAAAGCCTCACATGAAGCGGATTCAAGGCATAAGCCTCAAGTAGCTTTTTTAACAATGCAACTGACAAGGTTCTACACCAATATGTACATACACTAATGATTACTCTGAAAATGCACGATTTTTCTCAAAAATAAAAAGAAACAAAAAATATATTTACGAATCAAACTTTATATCACGAAGGTGCTTTTGTCTTGGATAAGTAGATGCTATTAAGTATTTATACATGCTTGACATAGTGGACCTTTAGTAGCAAATAGGCAAGTAAACAAGAAAGTTTCTACATTTCTCTTTTAAAGATGAGAGTAATCTGACAAGGGGAAATAAACCATGGAAGTCAAGAAATCTTCAAAATCACCACCTTCTTAGCTGAAAAACAAGAAAACTGTTCTGCATACATTTCTAAGGTGGTCAGAAACCATCTAAAATTCAACATGCTTTTTACCCACATCCACTAAACTGTTAGAAATATCTGAACGCACTACATCCCAATATTAACACTATTCTATCAGGAACTGAAAAATGTGACAAAATCAGCATTCATCACAGTCTAGTTAGAATGTTTAAAACAACTCAAAAGATTGCATTCAATTTATCTTGAGAACCATAAAATTTGTTAACTGGCATTGAAGGGAATTGACACTTTTAATGCATCCAATACAATGGGAAAAACAACTGAATATACTCACAATTTGCTGCAGTGATGTTGACAAAACTGCAACACAAGCACAGAGAAAACCCTTGCCATTAACTTTAACATCAGTCACGGTGCAAACACCCACACCTATAACCACAACCACAACAGACATTTTAACTTCCTTTGAGTAATGCTTACTGTGAAGGATCCATTCCATTATGCAGACCACTGGAATCATGCTCAATTTTGAGATCTACACCAAAGTACAAAAGTATATTAGCTGTACCCAACATGTAGATATTTAAATATAAATAATAAAAAAGAAGAAATGGTATCGATTATAATTCAAAGAGTGACATTTTTTAGGGAACTTTACAATTTCAACAAAAAACTGTCAGCTCAGAAAATGATTTTTAGTTTATTGCTCAAGAACTCCACTTCCGACTAAATTAATCCACAATCAATTTTACAATGGGAGAACAAACATTAAGAAATAACCACAGAAGGCAAGATTAACCTAGTTAGAACAAATTCTAAATACTAATGATTGCTGATAGAACCAGCGCTGTAACATCTACCTCAATATGGAGAGAGATTCTGCAGATCTCATTCTTCATAACAAGAAACTCAATAATAATAGATGCATTGAGAAGTTCACTTCAGTTTTAAACAGAGGAGTTTATGAACAGGAAAATTAATAATACAGAAGGGAAAATAGGCTTAAGGTGTAAGTGGCCACTGACAGAGTCCAATGACTTGACCTATTAGATGGATTTCAAGAAAGAACAGTTGAGGGGCATTAGAGGAGCAAACTTCTTCATGTCAATCCCTGCCTGTAGTTTCTCTCATAGCAACAGGCACAAATGCACTAGACACGAGATTATTCAGAGTTTTTCAATCAGGATTTTATATCTAAAAGAAGGGCATGAACTTAAATTAAAATTATATTTGATACATGGATGTTATCAAGTTTTCATTCACCTAGCTGCCATCGTTTGCAGTAAGACAAAATTTGTGGTCAATACTTCGAATGATTGAACAGGAGTTGGGAAAGAAACAAAACAATACATAAGCACACTAACATGGGGTAGAGCAATTCAAATGTAAGAAATACACGTATATTCAAAATAAAATTATAATAGTCAAACGCATATGCAGGAAGATTTGAATGCCATCATGTAACATTGAAATAGAAACATGTGGAGTGTCGCTGAGAAACATACTTGGTAAAATCCAACCGAGTTCAGCATGAGACTTAAATTCATCCCTGTGATTGACATATTGGCGACAACTGAGAACCAGAGAAGTTCCCAAAGAGGGACATGCTTTGATGCTGAAAGGCCTGTGGCTTTGGAGACCATGCCGACAAGTGCGGTAACAGCAAAGTGAAAACCAGTCAATGTCGTGGCTGCATGAGCAAAACATGAAGTATTAAGAAGGCTGTAGATTTTGGTCTACCTTTCAAGCAGTATAAACATTCAAAAATCATAAAATAAAATTCAAAAGCGAATGATTATAAAATAACTGATTAATAAATAAACAACTGAACCAGATCCGTTAAGAATATAACACAACCTAAGAAGCGAATCTCAGCTATACAAGCAAAGCCCACAGACAAGTTTCCATTAACCAAAATGGAACTGGTGCCATATTTAAACAAATTAACTAAAATAGATTATTTACAGGCTTTATGAATAATTGAAATTGGTAATTGCATATGAACTCAATGTTCTCAACATTGAATCAAATGCTTTTGAATAAATTCGGCACATCCTACAGATATAAAACTGACTAACACCTCGAGATCCATTAGGAATGGATACAGTAATCAATAAACTACTCTCTAAAGTTGCAGGCAATCCAACAAAATACATAAACAAGAAACGTGAATTTGAAATTAACATCCATCAAAAATTCAAAATTCAGAAGGCAAATTGATAAAAGAGATGAGATCTGATACAGCAGGACTAACCAAAGCTGAAAGCATAGCCGCTGGATGACATGAGTTGCTTGTTGGCCATAATGATTCCAACAGAACTGATAACATTCATTGCCCATGCGCCCACATCCGATACTGCTGACGGTTTCTTCTCCGACTCCATTTCTCTCCCACTAATTCAACTGGTACTCTACTACTACTACAAAATAATAAATCAGCACTAGGTTCTTGTGTAATAAAGTAGAAAATAAGCAAAGATCCACCCCCGGAAGAAATAAAGTAAATGAACAGATCTCACACCTAATATGTATATGATGGACCGACGAGACAACCGATTGACAAAATTGAATAAGAGAGAGAGCACAATACGACGAAGAAGACAACCGATTATGACGAAGATAAGCGAAATTATCAAAATCTAAAACATGGGATTTGTTTCTTTTTTCGATTTAGAAATGAAAAAACAAATGGGGTTCAAAAAAACTAAGCCTGTTCTTGTTTGTCCTGTTAAAGGGGTGGTGGCATGTGGGTTTCGCGTACATATGCGAATGCGTGAAGATAATCAGATTGAATATGGGAGAAGTAAATGTGAGATGCGTGAAATTCACATCAAAACAGCCAGACGTTTCAGATTTCACGCTTTTACTGTACGTCTCTCTGCAAAATTTGCTAAGATGGGTTTACTTTTATGCAGGTAATCTTTGATCCGGCGTTGCCAATCTTCCCCAGACATCACGGTGTATTCCTGATTTGAACCGCAGTCAATCATTTTTTCTTTTTTCTTTTTTTTTACCAGAATCTTTTGTGCCAATGAAAGAAAAGTTATTACTATTAGATGAAATAGTTAGTTGAGTTTTAAATTGACAAATGATATATAGTCTTTATGTAATTCATTATTTAAATTTTGATATACATATAGGGGGTGTTTATTTTTTATTCTCAAATTCTACAATAAATCAATTCTCATTTTCAACCACACATTTTTCAATAAAATAATATTTTCCATCACATCAATAATCTTTTCTTCTTTTTCAACCACACATTTCCTATCATATCATTATTTAAAAATCAATTTTTCTCCCAAAAATCCCTACCAAACAAGCACTAGGGATTGGAAATTTTTTCTTGTTCTTCCTTGAGGAAAAAGAATTCATAACTCTCAACTATTTCTCTCAATTTTATTTTGCAGGAACTCTATAGTTAAGAAATCTGCAAGAAAGTTTGATTTACCATGTATATATAGAATTTCGAAATCAAAGCACGATAAGATGGCTTGCCATCTTGCGAAAATCTATTTTGAAATAAGGTTTTTTATGTTTTTTTGTAAATCTTCATTTGATGCTTTGCAATTTATTTTTAAAATAAATTTTTTTTAATTAAATTATCTTGAAATTTTGAAATACACAAAACAATTGCTAAAATTTCTTTTTTGATGGTGAAATAATTTCTTTGAGGGTTAGTACAAACACCAGAATGGAATCGAACTAGCTGTTTTTAACTAGACTTGACATAAATTTGTTTAATGACTCCACCAAAACCTACATCAAATGCATCAGTTTCTACAATAATAGAGGCTGTGAGCTTAAGGATTGATAAATAAAGTATACTTTTTATAGAATCTTTAACTTTTTATGCCGCTAAATTATACTTATGACTCCAAAGGACCGAATTCTTTTGTTGCCTTTTGAAAATAGAGGCGCATATTATCCTTATCTCTTTCATAAAGTCGGACACATAATTGACACACCCTAAAAACCTCATCAGGAAATTTATTGGTGAAATCAATACTTCTTTGAATTGGAGTTGGCTGCGGACACTTCGACGGCCAAGTCAGTTGGAAGAGTTGTTATATGAGCATGAGAGAGCTTTAAACGTGAGCTTCCAATATAATAAAAACGGGTCGGCTTTGGGGAGAAACAAATAAAAGATATGGTAGCAAAAATATAATTTTGAGAGTCTAAACTTGCATTACCTTTGAATGTCACTAAATTATACTTATGACTCCAAATGACCGAATTCTTTTGTCGCCTTTTGAAAATAGAGGCGCATAGTATCCTTATCTCTTTCATAAAGTCGGACACATAATTGACACACCCTAAAAACCTCATCAGGAAATTTATTGGTGAAATCAATACTTCTTTGAATTGGAGTTGGCTGCGGACACTTCGACGGCCAAGTCAGTTGGAAGAGTTGTTATATGAGCGTGAGAGAGCTTTAAATGTGAGCTTCCAATATAATAAAAACGGGTCGGCTTTGGGGAGAAACAAATAAAAGATATGGTAGCAAAAATATAATTTTGAGAGTCTAAACTTGCATTACCTTTGAATGTCACTAAGTGTGAGCTTTATACTCGGATATGGCGAATGAAGGTCGTGGGATGACAATGCACATGGCCTCATCCAAGTGATTGCCTTTCTTGTTGTAGACATTAATCAATCACCGCCTTAAATGCTAATACCATTTTTCGTATACATAGGACTTAGTATCAGCCTTGGACTGTACCAAATAGGTTGGCGACGACAATGACAGTGAGTTGTCTTGTCAGTTATAATAATTTGTTTAGGATCTCTTCACCACCCGTCCTGGACCGGCTCTTCCCATGGGGTTCACTCTAATGGGGTCAACCCAACTTCATTTTGCGGGAGGAAATAGGTCGTTGGCACTTGAAGGTCGGTCCAGTTTCGCCTCATGTTAGTGTACAGAGCGTGAGACCACACGTGAGTTCTTGTGTAGAGAGACGTAACATCTCTTGTACTTAAATATTAGTACAGTATTGATAATGCATTCTTCACTTTAAGGCTTGTGTAGAGGTGGCCTCGTCTCTTCATAGATGCAAAGAAATTGGAAAACCCTCATCCGTTTGGAAAAACATTTATTAGTGATTTAATTTAAAAATAAATTATAAATAAATAAATAGTACTTAAGAAAAAGTTAAAAATGAAATTTTATGGACCCGGCAGTGATGGAGACCCGACTTGACTTTAGTATTTTTTACAGAGAAAAGCAACATACAACAAACGTGTGGCTGGCACTAAGGAGAGTGGGGCCTACATAATGTAGTAATTATTAGAGGAAGTAGCGAGTCGACGCGGTTTCTTTCCACCGTCCAATACGTCAAAGTTCAAAGTTCAAGCTCCAAAATGGTGTGCGATTTAACAGCCTCCGGTTTTATTTATCCATCTTTTGATGGTAATTAAAATTATATTTTTAACAAATTTTGATAGAAATTAATGAAATATGTGATTAAAAAATTGTGAATTCCATAAAATATATGATTAAAATTAAATTATTAACTTTAACTTTGATAAAAAATTAAAATATAATTTGTATCAAACTTGGGCTTATATTATTTTTATTAATNGGGAGAAATTTTAATCAAGGTTTTAATCAAAATTCTAGCCGTAAATTATCAAAGCATCCACTATTTTTGACTTTCCCTTTCACAGGTGGGGCCCACTGGTTGACTGTAACGGCTAGCATTTGGATTAAAATCCCACAAAAATTTCTCCCAAACACACTCTTAATGTATTCAATTTGTTATTAAACTATTCAATAGTGATTATAGTAACTATTTAATTGTTAGTTATGCAATCAATTTCAACAAATGAACTCTAAGCATACACGTATAGTCATATATTGTTGATATTGATTTTTTATTAAATAAGAACTATTAACGTCAATTTCATGCAACCGTATCTAGTTAATTTGTAACACAATTGCACATCAAACTCCTCAACAACCGAGCGAAAAGGTTAGCATGGGGGTCGAAAGCACTCTGATACATATGCCTGATCTTGCCTTATATTTTAAGTGATTGTACTAGTTTTTTGACTTTTTTTTCCACTTTTTTGACACGGTGTTTACGCTTAGAGAAGAGAATGAAATTATCTTCCCGTTTAGCGTGTCTTTTGAAAAATCAAAAACTGTTTTTGAAACTAATTTTCTGAAAATGTTTCGTTTTTCTACAAAAGCTAATAGATGAAACTGATCTAAGATAGCTCCACCGTTCAATTATTCTACGAGAAATAAAAGTAAAAACAGACATTTTGTCAAATGCTCCCTAAGGATAATTAATTATAGTGAAACAAGTACTTATATTTATAGTGAATATTATTACACGTATATCGACCAAGGATAACTGAATTTTATTTAGTCCCTATTTGATGCACATTCTTAAGGAAAGAATGCATTTTAAATAGTGATATAATGAAAATTATGTGGGTAGAAAGGAAGGAAAAATGTTGAATTTGCGTATAATATTATTTTATTGAAAATTGTGTGGTTGAAAATGAGTGTTGAAAGAATGTATTTTTTTTAAGAACGAAAATCAAACATGGCCTTACTTTTTGCTAGTGTGGTTGAAAATGAGTGTTGAAAGAATGTATTTTTTTTAAGAACTATAATCAAACATGTCCTTACTTTGTGCTCATAAAAGATATTTTTATCAAATTTGAAATGGGTTTGAATATATGTTGGTATTGGTTACTCAAAGGCGCCGATGGGACTTTTGACCTTTGGGAAATGGTCCAATAATTACTTCAATAATTTATTCTTTACTATTAATTTTATGTGTTGTGTACGTACTATGTAATGAGTAACTACATTAAAACCTTAATAACTAATAATTCAACTATTAAGCAGATTCATTTAAATTTTTAATTATGAGTTTGTATAAAATTTAAAGTACTCCACTTTAAAAATTACCAAGGAATTATGTTAAAGTAATGTTATTCAGTACTAACGGTGACAACCACCCGATAGTAATATTCATGATTTTAACATCAATAATGGATGAACAATGTCAACAATGGTAGTAAATGAGGATGGCACTTGTACCTTAAACAAAGAAGTAATTCTTTAAAAAACAAAAACATAATGCCCCTGCCTATTATCCGTTGAGCATATTCGAGGGACGAAAACATTGAACACTCGAATTTTGCACTTTGAGTTCATAATATTATTTTTTGGTTTGAAATTTACGACACGCCATGCTAGCAAAAGATTGAAGGAGATTATTCTTGAGTTTAAGACAAATACAATAGAACAAGGTCGACAAATTACACTGAAGACAATAATTAACATTCTAAAGAGAGGAGAAAAAACTACGCCAAGAAAACTTTGCACGTGAGCAAGATACATTACAAAGGGCTAAGGTAACGATGA